CCCAAAATGGCCCAAAATGGCCCAAAATGCAGCCCCAGGGCCATCACCGAGGCCGTGTCCCCGTACACCACCTGGGGATGGAAATTTGGGGTGAAAAACACAAAAAACCCCAAAAAACACCCCAAAACCACTGAAAATCCCATTAAAATACTCCAAACCCCCATTGAAATAACCCAAAATGACCCCAAAATGGCCCAAAATGCCCCTCAGGTGTGGCCCAGGTGTCCCCAGGTGTGTTTTGGGTGTCCCCAATGTCCCCAGGGGTGTCCCCAACGTCCCCAGGTGTGTCCAGCTGTCCCCAGGTGTCCCCAGGTGTGTCCCCAATGTCCCCAATGTCTCCAGGTGTATTTTGGGTGTCCCCAGGTGTATTTTGGGTGTCCCCAGGTGTCCCCAGGTGTACTCACCTGCACATCACTGTACTGACTCTCCACCAGTTGTTTGGTTCTCTCGATCATTTGGCGCCCGAATCCCGTCACGCTCTGACAACAGGTGACAACAGGTGACAACAGGTGAAGTGACAACAATAGGACAGGTGAGCACAGGTGAGCTCAGGTGTGCCCAGGTATGTCCCAGGTGTCTCTCACCATTCCAGGTATATCCCAGGTGTGTCCCAGGTGTATTTGGTGTGTCTCAGATGTGTCTCAGGTGTGTTTAGGATATCCCAGGTGTATCCCAGGTGTATCTCAGGTGTATCCAGGTGTATTTAGGATATCCCAGGTGTGTTTAGGGTATCTCAGGTGTGTCTCAGGTGTATCCAGGTGTGTTTAGGATATCTCAGGTGTGTCCCTGACCCTCTCAGGTGTATTTAGGATATCTCAGGTGTGTTTCAGATATCTCAGGTGTGTCTCAGGTGTGTCCCAGGTGTGTTTAGGATATCCCAGGTGTGTTTGGGGTATTTCAGGTGTATTTAGAATATCTCAGGTGTGTCCCTGACCCTCCCAGGTGTGTTTAGGATCTCTCAGGTGTGTCAGTGACCCTCCCAGGTGTATCCAGGTGTGTCTCAGGTGTGTTTTTACCTGTGAAATCTCCAAACACGGCAGTTTTCCCGCCTGAGCCCCGGTGAATCCGAGTGTTTAGGATATCCCAGGTGTGTTTAGGATCTCTCAGGTGTGTCCCAGGTGTGTCTCAGGTGTGTTTTGGATATCCCAGGTGTGTCTCAGGTGTATCCAGGTGTGTCTAAGGCGTGTCCAGGTGTGTTTAGGATATCTCAGGTGTGTTTGGGATATCTCAGGTGTATCTCAGGTGTATCTCAGGTGTATCTCAGGTGTATCTCAGGTGTATCCCAGGTGTATCTCAGGTGTGTCTCAGGTGTATCTCAGGTGTATCTCAGGTGTGTCCAGATGTGTCCCTGACCCTCCCAAGTGTGTTTAGGATCTCTCAGGTGTATCTCAGGTGTGTCTCTGACCCTCCCAGGTGTATCTCAGGTGTGTTTAGGATATCCCAGGTGTGTCTCAGGTGTATCTCAGGTGTGTCCCAGGTGTGTCCAGGTGTGTTTTTACCTGTGAAATCTCCAAACAGGGCAGTTTTCCCGCCTGAGCCCCAGTGAATCCGAGTGTTTGGGTGTATTTAGGATATCCCAGGTGTGTTTAGGGTATCTCAGGTGTGTCCCTGACCCTCCCAGGTGTATCCAGGTGTGTTTAGGATATCTCAGGTGTATCCAGGTGTATCCGTAACCCTCTCAGGTGTGTTTGGGATATCTCAGGTGTGTCCCTGACCCTCTCAGGTGTGTTTAGGATATCCCAGGTGTATCTCAGGTGTATCCAGGTGTGTTTAGGATATCTCAGGTGTGTCTCAGGTGTGTTTAGGATATCTCAGGTGTATCCAGGTGTGTCCAAGGCGTGTCCAGGTGTATTTAGGATACCTCAGGTGTGTCAGTGACCATCTCAGGTGTGTCTCAGGTGTGTTTTTACCTGTGAAATCTCCAGACAGGGCAGTTTCCCCGCCTGAGCCCCGGTGAATCCGCATGTGTGGGGTACCCCAGGTGTGTCCAGGTGTGTTTAGGATATCTCAGGTGTGTCTCAGGTATATTTTGGGATATCTCAGGTGTGTTTTTACCTGTGATATCTCCAGACAGGGCAGTTTTCCCGCCTGAGCCCCGGTGAATCCGTACACGGAGTTGGCGCTGACTTTGAGCGCGAGCTGCCGCCCGTCCAGCACCTGCCGCCGCTCGGGGTCCTGCTCCTCGGCCAGGGCGGCTTTCACCCTGTGAAAAATCACACCTGAGCTCACCTGGGCAAAATTCCTGCCAAAATCACAAAAATCCCCGCGAAAATCCGCAAAAAAATGACCCAAAAATGATCAAAATCTGCGCTAAAATGACCCAAATTCACCCAAATTCACCCCAATCCCGGGTCCTGCTCCTCGGCCAGGGCGGCTTTCACCCTGTGAAAAATCACACCTGAGCTCACCTGGGCGAAATTCCCGCCAAAATCACAAAAATCCCCGCGAAAATCCACCAAAAAATGACCAAAATCTGCGTTAAAATCACCCAAATTCACCCCAATCCCCAATCCCGGGTCCTGCTCCTCGGCCAGGGCGGCTTTTACCCTGTGAAAATGGACAGGTGAGCTCACCTGGGCAAAATTCCTGCCAAAATCAAAAAAATCCCCGCGAAAATCCGCAAAAAAATGACCCAAAAATGGCGCAAATTCACCCAAAAATGACCCAAATTTATCCAAATCCCCAATCCCGGGTTCTGCTCCTCTGCCAGGGCGGCTTTAACCCTGTGAAAAAACACACCTGAGCTCACCTGGGCACACCTGAGCGAAATTCCCGCCAAAAATCACAAAAATTTCTGCCAAAATCACAAAAATCCCCACCAAAATCCGCCCAAAAATGACCAAAATCTGCGTTAAAATGACCCAAAACCGACCCAAATTCACCCCAAAATGACCCAAATTCACCTGAGCTCACCTGGGCACACCTGAGCAAAAATCCCCGTGAAAATCGACCCAAAAATCACCGAAAAATGATCAAAATCTGCGTTAAAATCACCCAAATTTACCCCAATCCCCAATCCCGGGTCCTGCTCCTCGGCCAGGGCAGCTTTGACCCTGTGAAAATGGACAGGTGAGCTCACCTGGGCACACCTGAGCTCACCTGAGCGAAATTCCCGCCAAAATCACAAAAATTTCTGCCAAAATCACAAAAATACCCACCAAAATCCCAAAAATCCCCGTGAAAATCCACCCAAAAATCACCGAAAAATGATCAAAATCTGCGTTAAAATCACCCAAATTCACCCCAATCCCCAATCCCGGGTCCTGCTCCTTGGCCAGGGCGGCTTTAACCCTGGAAAAAATCACACCTGAGCTCACCTGGGCACACCT